CTTTACAACTTGTACCCCCTATCTATGCTTCTACTTGTTCATTTTTTCATGAGATGCAAAAGAAACAAAATTGGCATGCATGAAATTACTGTACTTTGGCAGTCACAAAACTGCAACTACTGAATTAGGTAAATTTATTTTTCGTCTCCATCCGTGGAATAACATCGGAGATAATTATTGTCAAGTAAATTGTAATTTTTTGAACATTTGATTGAAATCAGTCATATTTCAATAATGTAGGAACACACTTTTGGCAGTTTTGATGCTCAAAAATGTCTTTAATTTTCTCAAAATGGCACATACTTCACTAATACAATGAGAATATAATTATCTGGAATAAGTGAAAAAGTAAGTGAATCTAATTGAAGCATTTCACTAAACGAAAGGCATCAATTTAACTCCAATATTCATTTACAATGGAAATTAGGATAAGAGTTTCACTTTTATGATCCATTGACATTTTCAATTATTCCTTACAAAAATAATCAACACAATATTTGAGCAAATTATTGAACAATTATAAAGTAAACCTAATAATTATTTTTGATTTGTACTTGTTTGTAGAGCTTTATAAATACTGCTTGTAAAATGTGTTACGCCTTGTAAATATATGGAAAATAAATTTCAAAATATATTTCGATCACAATAATACTGTGAATTGAAAATAATATAAAAGAGAGAATCAGTTGTACTGATAAAAAATTATTCAATCAAAATATACTAGATAAATAAATTAAGTGAAATTCTATACAAAATATGATATATATTCATGCGGCATAACACCTCTTCTGGGGTAAAATGTATGATTGACAGAATAACTCAATAAATTTGATATGTTTGATGTATATATATCAGCAAATCTGAACAATCTTCTAGAAAAATAGGTTGGGTTATGGTAAGTGCGAAAAACGCTGCCAAATTGTTCATTGAAGACGTATTTGATGTCATTCCTAGAAAAAAAAATTATGAATACACTGGGTCATTACTTAATGAAAATTTATAACACTATCCATGATATTAAAACAACTTTCACACTTATAACTTTACTGAAGATGCGTTTTGCTATTCTACAATGCAACTATTTTTATAAAAATAGAAAACAAAGTATGAGATGATAAATGTTAATTTTACAAAAGTTCAGATGAGTTATTGGGAACTCCCATTAATTAATGGGAGTTATTGGCTGGGTTGTTAGCCAGGCGGTTCGACGTGGGTGCTTTGTTCACTCACTCGAATTGACTGCCGTGTTGGTCGGTGGTTCAAGCCCTAGTCTGAACGATCGATTTTCACTTGCTATCGTCTAACCCGTGTTAGGAATCACACGTTAAAAAGAAAGACCTCTTTAATCCTTAGCTCGCACAAGTTTCGACTTCGGAGGGTTGTCATTCGTAGGGGTGCGACAGCTGGTTAACGGACAAACAGATTTTGAACAGATTTTTTTTCAAACAGATTATTCATGGATGTTCTTAGTATGTCACCTGGGATGACCTAAGTTATCTACAAGGCCTATTTACAGTTCACTATCCACTGAACCATCATATGGAGAGACTTGGACTGTCAAAGACAGCGCATACTACCTATGTTTGGAAAATGAAGAGACAGCAGAGCACATACTTTCTGCCTGGCCTCTGTGGACCGAATCAGGTTTTCAATGTTTGTCAGAATTTCACTTTCACCATCTAAGAAGCTGAAAATATTTATCTGAATTTCAATTGGTGTGACCCACAACCTTTTGGGTTACAGTGGAGAGTGACTTTGGACCTATCTAGTGTGTGACCCATGCTCATTTGTTATCATTTGAACTCAAAACTCGAATCAAGAAATGATATGTTATACTTATCCTTATTATACATATGCACCAAAGTCATAAAAGTAAAATATTTGAAATTTCAGAGGCAAGGAGTTCCTCAGTTATTACAAAAATGTAATTCTCATGAGATTATAACCCAATCATTTCCCAAAATATACATTTTTATATTACCGTATACTATCTCTTTCTGCCATCCACCTTGCTAAAACTTTCTGTTCCTCTGGATCTTCACAATCTTGATGATCTTCAATCAATTGTGTCAACATTTGTAACCAATTAGCATTCTTCTTGAATTCTGGATTATTAAGAGTTGCAATTTCATGCTGTAAAAAAAGTTGACAGAAGTATTGAGCAGACACTAATTTTTTGAAATTACACGCCAAATCAGTTATTGAAAATAAAGAAAAAAACAAATTTCAATTGCCCAACAGATTTCTCCATTTACAGGACAATACAAAAATAAAAAGAAATAACAGTTTTATAGCAATATACAAAAAAAGTACTGAACGGTGGCCCGTTTGGGTTGACGTGAGTGGTTTGATCCACGCATTCTTTCGTCCGCTCTGTTAACCCGTGGTTCAAGCCACGAGACCGGACGATCGATTTTCACTTCCTATCGTCCAACCCGTGCTAGGAATCACACGTTAAAAGACCTCGTTAGTCCTTAGCTCGCACAAGATTCGACTTTTGAGAGTAGTTGTTCGTAGGGGGGCGACAGCTGTTTAACGAAAAAAATAGATTTTAACAGATCTTAAAAAAGAAAGAAAAAAAAAAGTAGATACTTGAGCTAGTTACTGTTAAACTTAATGTTTGATGAAATATCACGCAAATTATTGAAATGAATATCAGAATCTGAACAATTAACATTGGAATTACTGCACATTATCACTACAGGTGCGTTTCTGCCTGTATTAGTTCTACGGCAAGGTGAGTAAAATGTGTGATGTTCTCCAGTTACTGCCTGGGGGACATTAAAGTTCAATTTAGCTAGCATGTGCAATGCATCTATGAAACCATGAACTATTTTATATAAATGCTGGCCATTTTCACACTTTGTATTTTGATATATTCATGTGGAATTTATTATGAAAGCACCAAGTTTCAAAAATGTTCAGTCATTAATGAATATTGTGAATAGCAGAGGTCTAAGATTAGAACCTTGCGGTACTCAATGTGTGCAACTGAAGCCGTGTTGGGTTAATTTATTAAGTAGAATTGAATGATCATTGCGGTCAAACGCTTTAGAAAAGTCCGTGTTTATTACATCGACCTAACCTTTATTATATCTGTGTAAATATATTAGGCTTTCAAGTAGTTGATATTATGAGAGTACAATAATTGGAGGAGCGGAAGGGCCACATAGCATTTTCATCTTATAACAAATAATAATCAACAATAATTATCAACAACGATTATAGTTTTTTGACAGTGTGAACTGTCGATTACACATAACTAACAGTTTGAATTGTTGATTATGAATATTATTCAAATCACGAATATACCATAAATTTATTTGCAATATCCTTGACCCCTTGAAGTGGGTCAATAATTTTCAATGGTATCCATTTCATCCGATTTGAGTATTAGACAAATTTCTGGAAAAATTGATTTACATAAAATTTTATTGAAAGGCACAGTCAATGGTTCCGAAAATATTCTGAAATGAACCCTCAATAAAAAATTAGAAATAAGGTCATAACCACTAGTAATTTCATCTTCAAATATATGTAGGACTGATTCAATTTCAGATAAAATAAATTCCAAACTGGATATGTTGTTTTCTGAAAAAGGAAAAGAAGGTTGTCTTGATATTTTTGGAATGAAGGCACTGCCAAAGTGTTCAGCAAATTCATCAACAATAATATCCTGAGGTTCACCTTATTGGGAATTGAAGTTCATCGTACTGGGAATCAGCTAAACGCATTTTATTCGGATGAAATTCCAAAAACTTTTATGATCAGTGCATATATTATCCTCAATAAGACAAGAAAATCAGTGGTAATGTAAGTACATATAGAAATAATAATTAGGAATGGAAAGAATCCTGAAGCTACAAAGGAAGGTCGAATAATATAGATTAAATTGCAAAAATTTGATCGCAATGTACTAGTTTTATTTTGTGAAACTAGGATAATATTGAAATTACCGTTAACTCAGTTATTATAGCCCCAGTTCTCCATCCATGTTCTAAAGTAACGTCAGCCAAATCACTGTAAGGATGATCTCCAAAATAAAGTACTTGATGTCCTCGCCAGCCAGTCAAATCTTGTAATTGTTTTACAGTACCCTGAAATCGAAAATATCACTTAAAACAAAAAATTCTTTTCATACCCAAAACAAAAGTTTTTATTTTTCACCAACTCACTTCATAATATATTATCCCTTTTTCTAATTTTGTCACTCGATCCCAAATGTGGGTTCCACTTCTTTCGTCAAAAACCCTGATGGGTCTTGACAAGTCTGTGAAAAATCTTGGTTTTCTCGCCTGAACAATGATAACATCAAAATAATCTTTCCAGTTAGTTCCTACCATGAATTCCATACCTTTATTTCTAAAAAAATTGAATGAACCATCAAGGTCACACACACCTCAAGTCTACTTACACAAAACCATATGGACTGTTCGTGACCAAAAACAGTTTTTTATTGGCTTTCACTAGTCTGTCGAAAAATGGGCCTAGTTTGTCATTACTCTCTATATACTTTGGAACATTTTGTGCAACTATTTTATGCATGACCGGATGGGAATTTCTAATCGAGCTCTGTAAAGGAAAAATACCCTCTTTGGATTTACTGTAAACGTGAATAACATCTGAATGGATTTTTGATAAAATTTAATCCAATTGGGACTGACAAACTACAAATAATCAATATACTTTTTCATTGATATTAATAATGCAGTCAAGAGGTTGTGTTGGGCAAGGATTAAAGAAAATCTGTGTCATATGAGTTTTCTTTGATCTTTGCCCAACACAAACTTTTGACTGACTCAATATCAACAACAATATTTTTTATTCAACTAGTCAGCCTGTTACTCTTTCTATATAGATTTAAATATATCCTCCATACCTCTCACGAAGCAGAAGCAGTAACAAGCCTTGATAATGCCATCTGAGATGATGGCAAAAAGTTGATCACTGAAGAACACACAATGGATGAACACAAAAAAAACTTCACACACATACATGAATTTTGACTTGATTCAAATTTTTAATAATCATACTTTACCTTTATGTCTCTGAATAAAATTTCAGGATGATAGTCGATGTGATTTCTTTCGAAATAATCTGCTACATTACATATTAGTCCCATTTCTGGTACAGAAAAGAGATCAGCCAACTGCACCATTTTGGTATTCGATTCCTGTAAAACCAACTACACATGGTAACAAACAAAAAATTAGAAACAGAACACCAATAGGAGATATTAGTGCCCAAATTAGAAAAACATTAGGATAGTGAGTATATTAGTAAAACATAGAAGCATAGAAAAAGAAAGCAAAATATCACCTTGCACAGCATTCTACTGCAGGTGTTCAAAAGTATTTAGATCCAAAAACAATATTGTAATGATAATTTGAATTAGAGGGTAAACGTTTTTATGCTGCCATTATGGTTTATTTCCACAAATAAAATAAGTGGAGTGAATTGACTAATTATAGATATATCAGTCGACTATTTTAAAGAATATACAGAAAGCTCTTTTCAGATGAGTTTAGATTTGCATCAAATTTGTTCGATGCAAATCTAAATGTTTTCTGTGTGGGCAATGGCAATTTATAGTAATATGTTTAACAGAAACTACTATTAAGAAAAAACTGCAACTCATCATTTGCTATAGCAAGAATTCCATTTTATATTCCTTTTCAATATTCAATATCTTGAACATCTTTGAATTATGATACAAAGTTAGTTGAAAAAAATTGGGACAGTGATAGTAAGAATATCATTTTATATCCTTGATGAATATATGATGATACCTTGAGTGAACCTTTGAATCATGATACGAAAATGGTAAAAAAAATGGAACATAACTAACAGTTTGAATTGTTGATTATGAATATTATTCAAATCACGAATATACCATAAATTTATTTGCAATATCCTTGACCCCTTGAAGTGGTAATTCAAAGCAGTAAACAGTTGTATTGCCATGGAAAACATATTGATTGTACGATTGCTTATATGCTTCCGGAAAATGAATAAAAACGATTACAAATGAAAAGGGTACCTAGTGCTTTCATTGAACTGAACTCTCTGACTTATTCAAGTTTTTTAGTAGCAACATGTGATAGTTTGATAATTACAAAACTAACTCAGACTATAAAAAACAAAATTAAATACAGTTGGTTCCAAAACTTCTATATGATAATCTCTACACAAATCAAAATAAATCTTTTTGAAACAACCATTAGCTGATGCTGTTTCCAAAACTCAAAAATATAGCAAGTCATAAATAATGTAAATGTCCAAACAAATTGATCATAACCAATTTCATATGAAAACCAACGTGAATTCCAGTGAATTTCTTAAAATTCTCAAATGCTTTGGAATTAACAACACCTTATTTTAAGGGTTTGTGAACCGTTGTTAACAAAATTTTATATAAAAAAGGTATAGTCGGTTTTCTTGCTCTATATTGCATCACAAAAAGAGCACTACAAAAATGAATATTTCAAAAAGGAATTTGAAATATGCTCCAAACGTTTTTATATAGTAGGATAGGGAAAATACCTGCCGAAAAACAACAACTGCCTCGGATGATATTATGAAGGACATTTACATATATCCGTCAGACATTTGTGCAAGCTTCTCCCCAGAGAAAATTCTTGCAGGTGTTTCTCGATATTTGAACATCAACAACAACAGACCTAAGTATTATCCTTCATCAGTAAAGGACAAATATAACCACGACAGCAGTGCCGTCTGATACTCCACTGACCGATTTGATTGAGGTCCTGTTACGTTTCGTATTGACTGTTTCCTCTGGAATATCTTTGGAAATATAATAAATACTCATCAGAACTATGATCCATGGGAAACGAGAATACACCAAAAATACTCCTTGTAAAATCGACACTCTTCCCCAAGAAACTTTAGTCATGGTTGCCACTTAATACAATATTGCTAAACGAAAAAATATTATGGAAAATTACAAATTCCAATATTTTCAATATGAATACTGGAATAATAAATAGAAATATTGAAATTTCCAGAAACAAGTGAAAATGTCCTGACTTCTGAGTATTAGGAACATAATTTTGTGGCTATTTGAGATTTTTGTTTTTCTTGACTGTTCCCGGGTTTCCAGCTTGCTGGGTACCATGCAGAATTACATTTCAATTCCACTTAGAGATAACTCAATCTTTTTATGGTCTACATTATTCAATTTAAACTTTCTAAAAGTTTCTATAAGCAACACCACACCGAGCCAATAACAGATAGAAAAATAACTTCATTACCGCTGAGTTTTTTGTATGACCTTCCACATATGCAATGGGAATAATTCTATTTTTGTACAATCTCAAAACTTCTTCATTCGACAGTGGAGTAAGGCCTTTATATACAGAACCAAATTGTATTTGCAAAAAGGAATCAAGCTTCAGTAAAATTCCTTTTTCAATATCGTAATGCAACCCTCGAACTGCAAAGCCAGGTTTATATTCCAATGTTGATATTTCTTGTGGATACTGGAAAGTAATAGAGTGAGATACTGAGAGTGAGGTATTGAGAAAATTTCACCTTATACTGTTCGATGAGAGTCTGTCGTCCCAGATTATAGAGGAGGTAATCTAGTGAAGGTTTATAACAGGCCAGTGTATAGTCATAATCGAAGCCATAGACTTTAACCTCTTTCAAATCTAATTCGTTACACGCGAACACTGCTTTTGGATTCACATCTTTCGGCAACTTCTTTGCTGCAAAATACAAGCATGACAAGACTATAACTTTGAAGGTTGTCCTGGTTACTTACAATGGCACTTCTTTTTAATTATTTCATATGCTTCTTCCAGTCGTCTCCAAGAATGAAATCTTATAAATAATTTATCAATTCTACATAGTTGTGTTTCAAATATTGACTTTGAGATAAATTTTTTGTTGACAATCTTGCATAGCCACATTACTTGGATTCTAACCTAGATATATTATTATATCATAAAACGTACTTCGTACTTGCATAAGAAGGCTTAAATGCGGAAGTAACGCATTAAAAATTAAATCTAGTTGATTCTTGAGAGGAAAGAGAGTAGGTATTGATTATCTTAGCATTATGCTCCTTCCTAACAGTTAAAAACTAGGCAGCACTTATGAAGTTCTACAGTGAATTATTTCCCTTAATGCATGAAAACGATGAATCAATTGAAGGTTAGGCAGCCATTACAGTTTTACGGCGATTAAATGCACCAGACCTGCTTAACCGATTGAATTAGGATTATTTGGTGAAAGACATACTATCTAGTTATCGGTGCTCATGACACAAGCTGTCAACAATAATAATGTCAAGTTAGAAAGTTCCAACTACTTTTGAAAAGTAAAATGAGTGAACAAAAGCGATTTGGCAGTGTTTCCTTACAAAAAGTAGATGAAATCATTTAAAATAATACTCCAAAATTTATCCAGAAAACAATATTTTTCAAAAAAGGGTTATGAAATGAAAGCCAATAATAATACATCTATGGAGAATGTTGTTTTGATACTCAAAAATTGGACGTTCAACATGAAGAAACGGAACGGTGATGCTTACAAAGATAACGTTATTGAGACTCTTTGAAACAGATCTACAGAGAAAATACAAGAAATGTACTTTGATGATTATAAAATGGTGTTTGACCCATTTGAAGGCATTAAAGTCGACGAGAGTTGCTCGTAATGCTATAAACGAAGATAAATGGAGAATAATCCAAGTGAAAGAAGAATTAGTTCGGTGGCTTTGGGTATGGATAACTGAAGAAATGAATTTCCTTTGGAATCACAATGTTTCTCTGCAGGATTGCAGGGAAACATTTTTCACATATTTTCAGAGGCGTTAGCTTGAAGAAGGACGAAGGATGTGAAATATTTAGTTTATCAGATAACAGATGCCAGAAAACAAGTAATCACAACTAATCAATTTGTACTGTATTTTCTGCCCACTCAGTGTTATCGCTTCGATAGCGTGTGGTTAGAGATATGACATGTTGCATTACATATTAAATTTGCATTCCAATATGATTAAATTACTATTGTCTTCAATTCAAATAATGTGTGAAAAATTGAAAACACAATAATCTAAATTCAAAAAGCATTGTCTACTACATTCAGGAAAAACCTTTTCTTTTTTCCAAGCAGATTGGAACATATTCCTGTATTCATCAAAACGACACAAGAGGTGCAAAACCAGTGCTGATAGCATTGATGAGCATTGCCCTGTGAGATAACTTCGAAAATTATTGAGCAAAGTAAAGAGTAATAGGTATGTCTACAGAAAGATTATTTATAACTTGCAATATATACTGGAGCCAAAAAAGCTCATCTTCTTGTTACAAAAACTCGCCAGGCGATAGAAATGAACTTTAAAAATGGACGAAAGAAGTTGTCAACGAATGGTTGTAATACAACGTAAAATAAGATAATCGCTCAAAATAATCGCTCCAAATAACCTCCCCGCTCTACTGCTGTGAGTAATTTGATGAAAAATAATAAAGAAGAGCTGCAGTTGAAGTTTAATGAAACCGTACCTACAAATGGACGCTGAACATCATTAGATATAAATTCAAAATTAAATCACGAAATAATAATCTCTCCCAACTTCCCATACTATAGGTTCTAGCAAATGCCTGCCGGAAAACAACTGCTTGTCCGGTTAATATCATGCTGGGTATTGAATTATATTCGATGGACATTTATGTAAGATACCTCTCAGAGGTTAGGCTTGCAAATGTTTCTCGTTAATGCACCAGAAGGACCATGCTGAAATTATTCAAGTAGATCACCTACAGATCGGTTTAGCGGTATTATTTTTCATTAGTGCAGAAAAGACCATTAAATATCATAAATAGTCCATTATTCACTAAACATCGTGTAGAACAATGGAATACCTCCCAAATGAACTCAGAACTAATGAACATTTTGATGAAAGAAACGACACCAAGTGGATAATGAAGAAAAGTAAAAACAATTATTTACATAAACAGTAATTTTTCTAATACAACTAAATATAAATAGATTGTATTTTCTGTTTTCGATTTTGAAACAACATTTTTCATTCCAGAACAAGTACCTCTCCCAATCACCAGAAATGCCATACTCTTCTTGACACGCGTTTCGTCAACCAAGTTGGCGTCTTCAGGAGATGAGGAAAATGCACAATAGTAAAACGCGCGTCGAGAAGAGTATTGCATTTCTACTGATTGTGAAATGTGCTTGTTTTAGATTTACTCTACGCCAGAGGTTACAGTATGACCTATTATTAACGTTTTTCATATTTTTTTTTCTTATTCTGGAAACAATAACAACATATATCCATCATACACCAAGCCCATGTGGTATCATATCATGACAGTCATTAGCGGTCAGTATAAAGTGTTTAGAAGACATAAAACATTTTGTGAGGTTGTTCGTTGATTTGTCAGATATTATTATAGATAGCCGTCATAACTTCGTAAATATATTTCTGTTGAAGAAGTTATTAGTAGTTATTTGTTAACTACAATTGGTGACCCCGACGTGATCTGAACACGCATCCTTCTGATCACAGCAACTGGAAAATATTCATGTATACAGAATTACCAACCGCTACACATGTCTTCGTTAGAATAGATGCAGTCAAAAAACCTTTGCAACAGACATTCTGGACCATACAAGGTTTTGAAGCGAAATGACAAATATTCCATAGAGAGACTCAAACCAGCTTTCATAGAGAATCAACAAAATTGACCGTCAAAATCTTACTATTGAAAATGAAGACGAAATGGACCAAGTTTCTACGGAAAGGTCCTACACCACCCGCTCTGGAAGGAAAGTGAACTTTATTATTCGAAACATCCATGGTCTCAATCAGATAAGGAAGTAATGTGGTATCACATTATCACAGTCATCAGCGGCCAATATAAAGCGTTTAGAAGAAACAAAATATAAAAAACAATTTTTGTAAGGTTGTTGATTGTTTTGTCAGATATTAATTTAGATAGCTGTCAAAACTTCGTAAATATATTTCTATTGAAGAAGTTATTAGTCGTTATTTGCTAACCACACCCAATCGATCAAAATACGTGCAATCTCAAGACTTACTACGGTCTTGCAATTTAATCGATCTTGATATTATACATTTCCTTGGAAATATTTTGAAAATTATGATGTTGCACACATTTCAAACGATTAAACTTGGGTCAGTGCTCATATTTTAGATGAATTTTAAAATTTGGATTTTGAAACTAAGTGTTTCAACTTCATATCATCGTTTTTTTATGGAAATAAATCTCAACATACATCCCTCGTACTTTAATTTTAACCGGATATAACTCGGATATAACACTTGAACAAATACAAGTGGATAACTATCACTCAATAAAAATGAACTAGTGTACTATAATTTTTTGGGTAAAAAGTCTTATTACTCTAATGATATGCTCCAAAAATAACCTGTTCCTAACCGCCTCTTACCAGAATGTTCGATAACAGTTACCTGAAAATTAATAATATAATTTGCAAAATTATATAATAATATAGGGTCCTCCAACAGAACTTCCGACTTTTGACAATCGATATCGGCCATATTGTTGAAGCTAATTATTTGGCGTTCATTCCGTCTGTTTTACTGGAGTTTTTTTTCACAACACCAAACCGTTATTTTGACACCTCAACACGTGTTTCGATCACCAAGTGATCAAGAGGTTTAAAGAGGAAGATCTTCCTCTTGAGGATGATCACTCGTTGATCATCTTCGAGGTGTTAAAATAACGGTTTGGTGTTGGAAATAGCTCCAGTAATATTCATTATTACATCAAAGGTTAAAGACAGTGCATCACAAGTCCGTCTGTTTTTCCAAATCACTATGGACGGATATAGCATTCAACAACACGTGCAAACGATAAACATGTTTTATAAAAAATGCTGTTCTGTTAGGGCAACGTACCGCGCGCTTCGTCTATTTTACGGTCGCCATAATCGTCCTCCCGAAAGGACAATTCGCGATGTGATGGATAAATTTGAGTCCACTGTTAAATGTTCGATCAACACCCGTACGTCGACAAAACGCCGCTATCTGTGAGAGTGTGTAGGATAATCCGAGGCAGTCGATTTCGCGTAGCTCACAAGAACTCAGCCTTTCGTAGATCATAACTTGCCAACTGACCCTAATTTTTATCGAAAATCATATCCAGCGATGAGGCCCATTTCTGGATAAATGGGTACGCGAACAAACGAAATGTTCGAATTTGGGACGATACCGATCCACATGAGTTTGAAGAGCTTCCAATGCATCCCAAAAAAGTCATAGTTTGGTGTGGATTTTCGGCATCGGTTCATATTTCTTTGAGAACGACGTTGTTGTTGATTACTTTTGAAACAAGACAGTTGTGGCATTGAGAAGAGTAAATTTCTAAACGGAAACAGTTACCATATCAGTGAAAAATTTCTCTCCAACCCAGATAAGATAAATTAGATTGAATGAACTGCTGATGAAGTCCCACCCTATAGGCCTATTTCTAATATTTAGATGTCCTATTTAGGGTAAAATTATTTTTATATGAAGTTGATGTCATATAGTCCCAGTTATGTGCACTATAAATTATCGTCTTTTGGGCTTTCTACTTCTACTTTTGGCTTTCTACTTCATTTTTATACAAAAGAATCTGGGAATCTTCCCAAAAAATTATTCTCTCCTAAAAAGACCTCTTTCAATTTGAAGTCACGTCATATCAACAGCAAAACTGAATCCCTGCCTCTTGAAATGATTAGGAATAGGCTAGGTTGGGTTTTATGTAGGATACGTACCTATAGTCTTTTTGATTAGTCTATTATCATGTGATCTATTTCTGATATTGATGCAACATCAATTTTATCAGTGAATACGCATATCATTATGTATATTGCTCAATTGCCAATAATAGTTATAATAGTCAGGTAATAATTTGAAATAGATTTCTGATGAGAATTAATTTAGAAATTCCCACATTACTGATCTAGTTTAACTTTTGGGATTTATGGAACACAATTTTTAATTATTAAAAATCTATTTCTGTGACAACTGTGGAATGAAAAAATATTTTATACAGAAAAAAATCAGAATTGAGTTGATTTATGTTT